ATTGCATAAACATGAACGCTCAATTTTGAGCAACACTGGTAGGCGCTGCGGATGGGGTCGGCCGTTTCAAGTACCCGATGCCGTTAAGAGAGGACAAACGGACAAATGTACAGGCAGACAGATAGACCAAAATTTTTGCGTCAAAGGTCCCCAAGAAACACTATCGTCTTTTATATAGAGGATGATTTGACGTTTGACTTAATAATATCAACAGGCCTGTCAGGCGGAAAGGAATGTGTAGATAAAAAAATGGTTACGCAGGTTTTGTTTGGAATTTAGATCTTAAGATGTTCACCGACTAGGAAGGAATTAACATGTCTTCACGGTTTATGTCGAGCTCGTATGGCGCAATCAACTGCGGTCTAGATGCAAAGCCCGAAAGAGTGTGCTTCGGAGAGCGTGTATCGAAATTCTTGAAAGATTAGGAAGCGCAGGAGTTTATACCTAATGAAACTCTTGACGGCCCTCAAAGAAGTTTGGAACTGCTCTCTGTCGAGTAGGACTGACACTATTTGTGGACATACCACTATTTCATTGTTCTTGTACATAATATCTGGGAACAGGCAATAACGCAAAAATTAAAAACAGGTGCCGCTCGCTGATTCAGTACTGGGTTGGCAAGCAGAGCGCCGGGGTTTGATTCCCTTTCTTCCTCAGTATTTTTAATAAGTTATTTTTTCGCGTTTCCCGCGATGTTGGCTGCAGACACCACGGCGGGCAACTCGGCGCCAGAATCAGCCCGTGTCGTGATGTTAAAGCAGGTTTCACTGTAACAGCCCACTCGTATGATGACCAGAAGCTGCAGCTCTCCACGATTTCATAAAAAAATTGCAGTGGTGTTTTAAATGCGAAGCATTTCTTAGAAAAACTTCAGCGACTTTGAGTCTATCTATCTATCTATCTATCTATCTATCTATCTATCTATCTATCTATCTATCTATCTATCTATCTATCTATCTATCTATCTATCTATCTATCTATCTATCTATCTATCTATCTATCTATCTATCTATCTATCTATCCACCTACGACTTTTAGCTCTCCTGGCCGTTTTGATAATGGTATCAATACCAAACTTGGCATGGGATAACATGACCGTATGACGAGCATATTTGACTAGTCAAAAGATGAAAACATGTCGTGTATGTCACGAATGTCATGAATTACGTTTCATGTTCTTGCTGCTCTTGCGGTGGTTTCGTTCACATGACATGTTGCGAAACTGGTATGATATGACATGATTACATGGCGAACACAAGCGACAGACCCTAACATGAAAATCGGGAATATTCGTGTCGCGTAACAACATGACTACGTGCCACGCTCATGAGGCGCTGGCGGCCGTTTCGCTAGCTTCACTTATACCAAATTTGGTATTACGTGACGTCAATGGATGACGAAGGTATGTGACTGGTGCAAACATGATCATCAGAGATGTGTGTCATGAGAGAGAATGACTACATGCCACAGTCAAGGCGCCAATACTCTTCGACGTAAAACGGCGTGCGTGCGCGCCGGCGTTCGTTTGGTCGCGTCACGCTGGCGTTGCCACGCGAGGCGCCCGTCCTGCCTTGAACTTGCAGGCACGCACCGCTCTGCGTTGCTTTGACCCTTTCACGTTTCAGTGCGTTCGGCGTCCCTCTGTCACGAAAAGAGGCTGATGCAGGGCTCACTGGGTAACGCATCGGCGCGAAATGCAGCATGTCGCATTTAGAACCGGTTGCCGTCGGGCTCCAGCTATTCTTGCCTGCCTCCAGCCATTCTTATACCCTCTGACAAATATGCTGCTGTATAAACGTCAAGCTGAAAACTGTATTGTGTATCCAAGACCTTATGCCCATCTGCTTTGGTCTCGTATGAGACTGGCAGCACCGAAAATAAATTAATAAATTAATTATTTAATAAAATAAATAAATAATTATTACTTATTTAATTTTATTAGTATCTAATTTTTATTTAATATATAAATAATAAATTATTTATTCAAATAATAATTAAATATTATAACAAATAATTAATAATTAATTAAGTAAGTAACTAAATAAAGCGTCATTGTGCGCAGCGTGCGCACGCGTCAACGTTACGTTGGATTGTATTGGGACCTTCATGATGCATTCGCCGCTGTTTCGCTTGCTCTACATGTATCAAGTTTGGTGTTACTTGACGTCAATAGATGACAAAGGTATATGACTTGTGCAAACGTGATAGTCATGACACGCGTGTCATGTAAGAACACAACAACATACAATGTTTATAGTGTGCTCGCGGGCGTTTCACTAACTTCACATATGCTAAATTTGTCATTACGTGACGTGAATAGATGACGAAGGTAAACAACACATCCAAACATTATAATCATGACACGGAGGGCATGTACTACGGCACCATTTCCCTCCACCTCGTAACGTTGTTTTGATTTCAAAGTGGCATGTCAACATTTCTCATTCATGCTTCGGATATCGTGGGATCTGCAAAATTTTTAGCGATATCCCGAAAATCTGGGTTTTCTAGTCACCACCAAGCCAGTTCTCTTCAAAAAGTGTGGTGTTCTAGGCCCTGCTTGCTTTGAACGACGTCACGTGTCCTCTTTTTAGCCCTCGAGACGTCGACGCTTCTCTGTTAGGCTACAGGCGCCCCTGCTGAACTACTCGTTCGTAAGCTTCCGATTCGCGTTCTATCGCATATGTTTGTCTTTGTCGGTATGAAGAACAACAAATATTTTATTCAGAGGAGTAGTGACAGGGACTTAGCATTACTTCTTTCCTAACAAAAAGAAGGCAGAAGTTCACACTAGTGTGACCTCCTTGGACGATGGTATGTCTTATACTGGCGTAGACAACATAGAGTATAACCACAACCCGTCACCGGCCATGTTCAAGCATGAAGGGCCAGGACTCAAATGCCTAGTGTGCAAAGCTGGCTGGGGTACCCCTGGTAGAAGCGCGCGATTTTTGTCGCTCGTACGCTGCTGACGTGTTGGGCGCAGTGGCTGCGCTGACTGTCCTCGCCGGTGAGCGAAGCTGCTAAGCAACGGCGTGCAAGATTTTTTAGATACGAAGCATCTGTTGCTCGTGTCTGTGTCCCACCGCGTTGGTGTCCGCTTTCACACTATGTAAACGAAACTGCTTTCGTCTCCTATGCTCCCCCCTCTCGCCTCGCAACGCCGACGCATGTAATGCCTGCTAGCTTATGTATTAATTAAAAAGAAACATCTGCTCGTGATGTAAGTCCATTTACTGGCCACCACGTATATATAGGCATTCTATCTTAACTATTAACATAGTGCCGGAGAGGGATTTCTCCTGTGCGTTGTTGAACAATAAAAATTTGCAGAGTGTGTGCGTTAACTAAAAGCGGATTGTGGGTCTCTTCGACCAAGCGGAGTCTTCCGTCTCTCACTGCCCATTGAAAGCGATTGGCATGATCAAGTAGTAACCAATGGTTCATCACTCTCATGCTTTGCGCCTCCCAGGGTTTCTCTACTGCGCCACGCCGTGTTGAGCACCCGCGTCAACGTCGCCGCCACTGTAAGCGTTAGCGCCCGCTCCTCTACATATTTGTGGTTCTTTTTAGCGGCAGATGGCCTGACTTTTTTGTGGACACGTGGCGTTTTACCTGAAACTTTAGGACCTGCACTTTTAAACAGCCATGTGCACATTTATTAGCTTGGGATTTCTGGGCAGAGATGGCATAACTTGCACGAAGACCTTTTAGTATACTTGTCTATGCTGATCATCACTTCTGATGCTGTAAAGCGATATCTTGAGCAACAAATAATTCTACTTATCAAGGTTCTAAATATGTCAGAAAAGCTAACGATGCACAGTTGAGAAGTCTTCCTGAAATGGTAGCATAAAGCGTAAATGATGTGTTGAGCTTCTGGCACTGCCTTTTCAAAAACACATGACCAACACGCTTTCTTTTTCAAGCCACATATAAGGTCTGCCTGAAGCTGCAGCACACGTGCTGCTACATTGAGATTGCATGTAGTGGCAGTTGTCACGTGATGTTAGTGTATGTGTGATAGTTTCGTCTGTTTGGTGTTCCATAATTTACTGATGCCCTTTTATGGCGAGTAATAATAAAATTGGACAGTTAAAAATTGTGTATTTTTGTGTGTTATATACCTGTCCTTGGTGGGGGGTACTTCATATAGAGTTGACCTATTTTGTTGAGCTGTAGCCATGTTATAAATTGTCTGATGTTTCTGCGGTGTGTTGCAAAATATTCGGGAAGGATAATATGTAATATCCCAACCAATCATTACAAATAATAAATATAAATAACGCAATGCTGAAAAAATAGCAATACGAAAAAGATTAAAATAGGCTGTCATGTGCTTTATAAATGTCTCATAGGCCGATGTGTTCTTTGTGGAAGACTTTCTTGCACTGTGACTCTCCTGTGATAGAGCGGGCTCTGTTTTAAAAACGTACTCCAGCCTACAGTCAGTTCATCTCTTGTTGTTAAATATGCAGTGGGAAAATGCACTTCAAAGTTTCCAAGTTCAATAAGCAATACTAACTTCAGTGACAAAAAGCGAGGTTGCAGGCACCAGACCACACTCGCCGTCAGAGGTACTCAGGCTTGATTGACAATGATAATCGGGAAGAGTATCCAATATGTTCTTAAATTTTTGTCTGATTTCGCATGATAGCGGTTATGGACATTGGCGGTAGTGGCGGTGGGAGACAACTGCCTTAATACCACTGCCGTTGTTATCTGATAGCAGCTTTCTCTGTAAAATATTGCGAGACACCAAAGAGCATTGCCCTTTATTCGTCTTTTTTGCCAGTGTTTCTACTCACATACGTCACCAAGCAACAACCTTGTTAGCTTAGAACAATTTAGCCTAATGACCAGGGTGTAGTTGTAGACGTAGCAAGTGGTCAATCGGTAACAAACAAATAAGAACTGAATTAAACTGCAGCTACGATTTCGACGGTACAGCAGAGTGACGCTCTGAGTTCACACAGAGTATACTTGTCCGACCTCTGCAGCTGATCAGCCACTACACCCTCTTCAGCGATGGCCTCTGGTGTCCGCTGACCGAAGCGTGCGTACGCCCCGACTGCCACCTGGTGGTAAAGCCGACCAGCACTGTCAGCAGGGTGGAGCAGCGGCGAAGCTTTGCGGCGACCACCACCACCAACACACGCACAGGCATTCTCAACCGGCTCGTCGCCAGCATCACGCCACAGGTAAGCATGGCCAAAGTTATATTCGCTCCACCAGCACGCTTGTTTAAGGGCTGTCCGCAGCATCCATTTTCTAAATTCGGCAGCAGCACTGACCAATTGGTTACGGCTATCAGCTGGTGACCAGAAAGACGCAGTCCATAACCTCAGCTACGACAATTTCAAACCGGATGAAAGCTGTAGCCCTGTTAAACGCCACTGTACGCTTAATATTCGCTGGTGGTCACTATTATCCGGACCGTACCCCATAGTCTAGTCGGCTGGAACCATAAGACACCGTAAATGAGGCACTTCACTGGGCAGACCTCTAGAAGCGTGGTGGTCTGGACTAGTTGGTAAGTCATCACGAGTGTTATAGCGTGAGCTCAGAAGGACAACAAAACTCTTTTTGTTTTCTGTCGTCATTCTGAGGTTGAACTGTAGCAATCGCCGACCTCTAGATTGGCTAAAAAGGTGAATAACATGCGACTACCTCATAAAGTCTGGACCAGCTAATCAACCGCAATACCGTTTCCCCGTATCAATATTTCACTCAAGCGCAAGACGGAGCACAAGTTTCGAGTGCCAGAGGTGATGTCTAGGAAATGCAGAAATAATGAAGTAATGTGAATCAATTAGTATTTCCACAATATGCAGACAAGTACTCCTGCTTCGTTCGGTGTCTTAGCAGTTAAACGCCAAACAAAATAAACGCAGATATATACTCATTATACACGTGGGCAGCCACACAAGACAATAGCAGGAACTGACTGTGCTATCCAGTGGGTTCGAAAGAAATGAAAAAAGCTGAGAAGTGATTGCGTTATTTTGAGTCGACTGGTACGGATGAATGAAAATAATACACAGATTAAGCAATAAATGTTAAAGACGAATGTCATTACATGCAACATTGTCTCTGTAACAGGGCGTCGCAGAAAGCATATACTGTGCGCTCTCTGACTTCAGCACGACCCCTCCTGCACAAGCAGAACTGCAGTGTCACGGCGTAGGAAATATAAGTTGACAGGGCTAGATTTGTTGAAGTGGATCAACGACACTCGGTGAGTTCATACTTGTGCTATGAGGTGCAGTGGCAATGCATAAATAATCTGAGTTCACGAGCTGGTGGTACAATTATTTCATCACCAAAACATCTTGTATCAACCGCATGGTGCTTGGTCAATGCCCAGAATTGGCGCATACAATTGTCTTCTATGACCGCACAAAGGATCTCAACAAAAGAAGGCAAGGCACATTGAAGACTCCACAGCGATATGTGCCTTCTTTTATCAATGTACTTAGCCTACGCTACCATCAATTATTATGCTACCATACCAACATGCCCAAATCATCACTCTTATCTACTTCGAGTCTCTCCTCCATTTAGCGTGACTCTTTGCGTCCAAGCATTGTTTGTTTCAGCAGCTAGCTAAGCCTCTTAAATCCCCTCGTTTATGTGCCTTCTTTGTTGATTGATTGATATGTGATAATTAAAGACCCAAAACTACCATATGATAATAAGAGACGCCATAGTGGAGGGCTCCGGAAATATGACCACCTGGGGTTTTTAACGTACACCCAAATCTGAGCACATGCGTCTACAGCATTTTCGTCTCAATCGAGTATGCAGCCGCCGCCACCAGGATTCGATCCTGCGACGTGCGGGTCAGCAGCCGAGTACCTTAGCCACTAGACCACCACGGCGGGGTTACCTTGTTTGTTGAAAAGTGGTCCAATCCCCCTCATGGATATGATCACGATTTTATTGAGGGAAAAAAAGAGCAAGTGATGCACTAATTCACTCCGCCGCCGATACTTCTCAAGCACACCTGGCCTAGGTCGCTTGCACTGGTGAGCTTCACATATCAGTGGCTTTGATTGTAGACAACATTTAGTTTTCAACAGAGACACCACATGACAGTTTCTCTACATTCATCACAACCGATATAATGGTCTAGTTACTCTAGTCAAAGGCGGACTATTTTTCTGACATTTCTAATAGAGCTCTTAACCTTCGACCCATCAACCTGCCAAGTAAATTACTGCAATTATATGACCGGCCACTCAGGGGCAGAGTTATAACTAAGATTTTACGTCCGGAGTGCCCGAATTCTTGACTGATGATTGATACGTGAGGTTCAAACAAAATCACTACATGATTATGAGAGACGCCGCACTGCAGGGCTCCGGAAATATCGACCACCTGGGTTTTTTTAACGTGCAACCAAGTCTGAGCCCATGGGCCTACAGCATTTTCACCTCCATCGAAAATGCAGCCACCACAGCTATGATTCGATCCCGCTACCTGTGGGTCAACAGCCGAGTACCTTTGTTACTAGACCACCAAGGCGAGTACTGCCCGAATCCTTCAGATGTATTTTCATGTTTGTTTTGTGTGCTTACTTTTATACGCACATTGAAACTTAAAAAGTTGGGGAATAGGGGTTGTGTTGTTTCACTCTGTCTTGCTGTGTGAAACAACACACTCAAACATTTCCTCATCATCAAAATTGGCTGGCCCGTCAACGCGAAATGCAGGACGCTACGTTGGGCTCACTCCTACTTGAAGCATTGCTCCGCAGGGAAAGGTAACCTTAGTCATATCGTGTGTAGCTACTACCACCAGCTACTTAAAACCCATCGCAACAACACCGAAACCCCAGACAGTCACCAGCTCTGGTCACCAGACCAAACACAAAAGGCTTTGATTCATAGCAGCAATGTCCATTGTTAATACCAACTAGATGGCACTCGAAGAACAAGAGAAAAAAGACGAAGCGACGACGACAGCATACGACAGCCCGGCCTCCAAATGTGCCACGCACTTTAAAAAATACTTGGTATATCCACATTATAAAGTTACCCCTAACATGATAAGTGAAACTTGCGTCACGTAATAATCATAACAAGAAAGGTTTTTATTTTCAACAACATTGTTGGGGGACCGTCAGCCGAAAAGCTGCATCATACAGCTTGAATATGCCTGAAGGCACTCACATGGCAACAGTAACAACAAAACTAGCAGTCATATATGTTTTAGGTATATATCCAGGAAAAAAAATCACATTTTTATTGAAATTGAAAAATGAAAAACAAACATATTGAATAACACTTACAAACATGATGTTTAAAAACATACAAATCTGATGCTTTTAGAAATAGGAAACCTCTTAATGCATTGCTAAGCACAAAAACAGTGGTAGTTACAACATAATGAAAATGACTTTTTCAAAGATGGCTGCGATGCATAATGGTATAACACAATGTTTATCGAAACACTGAGGGAAGAACACATTGAGAAGCAGAAAGTAATGTTTAAGTGTCAAAACTCTTTTCTTTATCCCTTCATTCATACCTGCAAAAGTATTCTCGCATTTCTTTACGCATCAATATATTTGAAATAAATCCTTCCCTGTCCAATTTATTTAGTATCGAAGGTAGGCTATGCCTCAGAGATTGCATAGTGTAATTTGTGTGCCTGTATGGTGTGGACCACATGTCGTGGCTAGGAGTGCACGAGTCACTATTTTTGTATTCAAACTGTGACATATATTTCAAAAATGACTTACTATTGTAGGAGCCGAAATAAAATAAATATAGGAGTCAATATTCTTAGAGACTTCTCACACATAATATCTTATGTTTTTGAAAAAGCGCCAATGTAGAATAAAAATTGGGTACGTTCGCTATTAGTCCAAGCGCGCGTTTTTAAAGCTAAAGAAGTGCGCGAATGCTGCCTTTTGTGGTGGTGGTGGCCCACACAAGCACGGAATAGTTAAGATGCAATTCAAACAGGGCGTAATATATCTGCAATTTTACCTTTTCCGGAAAACAATGTTGACAGCGAGATAGCGCACCAGCGGCAGATGACAGTGATTTTGCAAGTAGTTCTGCGTGATACGTCCATTCATATTTTCTGAAAACGTAACACCTAATACTTTGTGTTTCATCAGAATTTCATTGGGAGTGCCACCCAAAATATTTCATCACTGAAACAAGACTGTCTCCTTCTAGCCCTTAATAATAGAGTCTTTAATTTTGAGCTGTTAGTTGTTAGCGCATTATTACTAGACCATGCCGATAGTTTAGAAAGAGCACTGCGGCAATTCTGTAACACATGATCAAGTTCACCGTCCGAGAGAAACAAACTTGTATCGTCAGCATATAGTAACTTGGATGCATCTCTAACGATTTGAGCGATATAATTTACGTAGACATTAAATAGTGCTGGTCCCATTACGCTACCCTGCGGTACTGCCGCTTTAAGTTCACAATATGAGGAGCAGAATTTTTCAATAGCAACGCACTGAGTCCGCCCAGAAAGGCACGACCGAGCAACAAATTTGCGACGCCACGGATAATATAGTGTTCTAGCTTTCTAATTAAAATGTCATGGTTTAAGAGATTGATTGCCATGCTATAATCTATGATATGCCTAACGTTAGTTTACCCCCATCTATCTTATTATTTATTTGTTCCTTTTCATATAACAACGCCGTCTCTGTCGACCTGCCTGGGCGGAATCCGTGCTGACAGTTAAATGGAATGTCATTCTTTTTTTTAAAAAAACTGTTCATTCGTATGGAGATTCGTGTAGAGATTCTAAACTTCTAGAAAAGGCAGACAGAATAGAAATCGAACTGTAGTTTCCCAAGTTATTTCGATTGCCAACTTTAAAAATCGCTGACACCCTGACTTTCTTCAGAGCAATTGGAAAATGGCCAGTTTTATACAACAAGATTAAACACCAGTGCGATGACGTCAAATACAAACTTTATTGGTTTGATTTGAACATCATCTGCATAAACAGCATTGCTGTTTTTAGGCTTAAAAGTACGAGAAATTTCGGTCTCGTCAGTCGGTTTGAAGAAAATGCTATACGTACATGCATTAACATCAGTGCCACTGACCGCTCTATCTGATGACGTCATCATATTCACGAAATGATTGTCAGAGCGGTGCCCGTCACTTTTTCATTATTTATGGATGACTTCACGAAAAGATGGTTCCTCGTTTATTTGGGCTTATGCCGTCATTGATAATTTTTCACGTTTTTTCTGTATTTTTTCTCAGTACCGATGCAAAAAGAGTTTTATAATAGCGCGCCTTAGCTTTTCGTGCGAACCCAGTTACAATGCCGCAATAGACCCTCGGCTCCACTGAGAGGCAAAGCTGGACGAGCATTCATTCTTTCTCGCTCCACAATCAACCCTATTTTCATTTTTTTCCTCTCCTAACATTCCACTCAAGCTAGGCCTGTAGCTGGGGGGGGGGGGGGGTACCCTAAAAAGCCCAGGCTCCCACCCCCCAAAATTCGGATGGTAGGAGGTGTTTTAGTGAGAATAAATAATGAATATACAGATATTTTAAGGCCTTCAACTGGTGCCCTCACCCCGAAAATTGTTGTGGCTACGGGCCTGACTCTTGCACACACCAGGACGCACGCTTTGATTTCCCATCAATTTAAGTATGGATGGTGGAATAGTGCGGAAAGGGGAAAGGAGGAAAAGGCGTTGGTGCGTACGAAACGTTCAGTCCTGTTGCTCGCTCATCTTTCCCATTGGCTGTTGCAGTAGTCATCAGAAACGTGAGTCTGCGTTTCCCACCGGTGACTACGGGCGTGAGCGCGCCACACTGGAAGCAGTACAACAGTCACATAACAGTCGTAGGAAAAGTAGTAGAACGCCAAATTACTTGCCGGGCTATTAATGTGCAGCAGCCCATCCACCCGACTACGTGGAAACGCATTTCTTTCTTTTATCTAGTGCTACGTCGACGTCGACGTCCTTTTTTTTATTTTTCACTCTCTCCATCTTCCCCTCTTTTATATTGCCAGCATGAATAAAGCATCGATAAAGTAGCACAATAATGGCCGTGACTTTCGTATCACTATAGCCATTCTTTTCCTTCTTCAGTATTGTGAATAGAGTGAGGAACGATTAACTTAGTCGGTCAACGCCTCACTAACACCACCATGTCCACGCAGCAGGCGATGGAGCGATCGCGGACCATGCCTCGGCTTCGAGCACCATCACGCCTATCGTGCTCGTCACCGCCGCCGCAGCACCAACTCCACCTTCCGGCCACATCAACTGCGGCCACTATCGGCTGCCACCACTCCACGTGTGGAGCACACACATCATCAGGAGGTGGCCGGCGGTCAGCCATGGGCAGCCGGCTGCACAAGGCTTCCAGCTTCGACCATTTACTGCCAGGCTTCATTAGCTACCTATTTTCTGGAGACGGAGATCGAAAGGTGAGTAAGCAGAGCACCGGCGCGTTCTGTGAACGCAGCTAGGAGGCCTGGTTGTGCATGAGAAGATTGGTCTATTGTTTAGTAAACATCGATAACAGAATTCTCACTTAGTAACTGTACGAATGGATTTCTTATTTAAGGTAATAAAATATTTATTCAAATAAGAAAAACGTGGTTGATAACATGAAAGTAAAACGTTCCTATTTGAATGTTTTCTGTACTGTTAATAAAGAGAGCTTGCACAGTGTCGTTGATGTTTAGCAGTCATAGCACTATTTAGCATAGATGCATCGACGTTGACTCTTTGTGGTACATTTCCATCCCGACGACAAACATGCATGAGCTGTAGATAACGGCGAGTACGTAAACACATAAAGAGGCATGATAGCCAGGAGAGAGGCGCATACTAGAGGCGGAACTTAAGCTAAGGTTACCGTCCCTCCCGTGGCATGTTCAAGCATGATTCAACACAGCAGTCACGCCAGAGGCTAACTTATTGGCGTCAGGTCGCCCCTGTTGCCCACCAAAATTTTTCTCGGGGTGAGCGTAAACGAGAAGCATGGTATCACAACCACGTGAAGCAAGCGTGTGTAACAGTGATATTTCAGGGGTGAAGCTCCTTCGGGGTTGGATTGTGTCCCTCGTAGTAGTTTACTGCAGTAGTAGCCACTTCTAGTTAATTTTCAGAATTTTTCACTAGAAGACGCTGTGTGTATATGTCCTTGGACAAGCTTTTAATAAAGGGAAGCTCAGAGCAAAATGAGATTTCAAGAGAGGCTAAGAAAAATAAAGAAGAGTAGATGGGCAGAGCAGGTGTTCAAGTATTTGCATAGAAAGAGCGTGCACACAAAGGGGAGAAAAAGAACTAGGAGGCTTACCAGTAAATATCAGGTTGGCAATGTGGGTGACGTTGGAACAAGGAGCATTAAGTGAGAAGTGAGAGAGGCGGAGAGTTGTATGGAAATGAAGCCGGCTCTCAGTAACTACCGAAACAGCAAAAACAAAATGAGGAGGAAGAGGCTTTATGGCAAATCAAGCAAAAGCTCTTTACTGTTCGAGATGAGGTCGGGTTGCCTTAGAACACGTAGTCATAAAGTGGGCTTCAATAAAAAAGAAGAATTTAGGTGCTGTGGGGTAGTCAAGAAAACAATGAAACATGTTATGATTGAATGTGGCGATATCCACCAAGGTGTACGTGTAGGCACAAGCCTGCATGAGGCTTCGCGGTTTATTGAGAACCACAGAAAGCTGAACACGTAATCGATAAAAGCAAGTAATAGACGCTTAGAACATTGGTGGCAGAACAGTAGAGATAAAAGACAGAAATAGTGGGAAAATGAGGTCATTCTGACGGAAGAGGCAGAGAGAGGAACCATGAATTTATATTTTGCTTTGTTATCATAGAATCAAATTATTCAAGTAGTTAAGGCATTTGGCCAACATAAAACGAAAGTTTTATTTTCGTTTTTTTTTCCTTCCGAGCATGGTGGCACACATGTTACCATCCCGTTATGAAGGGGATGCTCATAGCAACCATCCATTCATTTTTGGACATAATATCACTTGATGACTTTAGTGGTATTCGTATGATGATGATTTCGTATAGTTGACAGACAGACAGACAGACAGACAGACAGACAGACAGACAGACAGACAGACAGACAGACAGACAGACAGACAGGCAGGCAGGCAGGCAGGCAGGCAGGCAGGCAGGCAGGCAGGCAGGCAAGCAGGCAGGCAGGCAGGCAGGCAGGCAGGCAGGCAGGCAGGCAGGCAGGCAGGCAGATGCTTCGCCCCAGTCATCATTATTCACTCCTTGGATATGCTGTGATTTTGTTCGTTTGGATGGACGCCATGAATGAGGCCAGTGCTTGGGTTAAGGTTGCCACTTCCCTGTAGCGGCCGTCGTAGAGGTGTTGACTAAGTTGCACTTTTATTGAAATCATGCCGAAAGGCACGGATGCGCATCAACCCGCGTTGCAGTTGCTAATTTCGAAGGCCTCAGTAGTGATGAATTACTGTAATTTATTACACCTTGACGCTGACACTAACCTGATTATAAGGAACACTGCGGAAGAGAATAATGAGATATAATAAAAGCCGGGTTTGCAAAGCAGCAAGACTCTGTGGCTCTGGCTCTGTGGATAGTGTGCTCGGTATCTGTTGTTGCGGACCGAGATGTTGGTGGTTCGGTGCGCGTTCACGGATTTTTTTTTCATTTTGACACCTCATCATCTGCATACTTTGACGTCATTTCCGTGACTAAAATATGCCACTGAATTGCTGGTAGACCATGGCATCAAGCACGTTTGTGTTCCGAGGAAGCAAGAAAAGAAATGCAGAGGGATTGAACTGGTTTTTTTTTTGATCTGCATTCAGTCGAATATCACGAAAGCATAGAGAAAATAGAGAAAATACAGTACAAAATGAATATAACTTCACCACCTTCTAAATAATTCTAGACATTCAAGAACACCCTATCGCTTTCTGAATGCCTCTGACAGACAACAACCAGGATCCAAGAATCAGCTTCAGCGCTTGGCAACCAACCACAATTGACGTTAAACTGACGTGACAGCTGTATCAAAGGAGTACATATCTAATGTTTGTAAAAGCGGGTAGGCAGCATCATACTCCAAACTAGCTCTAAAAATGCATATGTATGTGTAAATTCCTTATATATTCATGTAAAGCATAATGATGAACAAAAATACGCAGTTGGTGTTGCGCACCCCCTGTTCATTCTAGTTCATGGATATGTTTGTAGCACGTGCCTCACCTTGGCTTATGATTTGCAGCGCCACAAAAAATCATGATCCACTACCACGTAATGGAGTTCACCACTTTGCTAATAAACAGCATCGTTGAGGTTGTGGAAGTAGTAATAAGGCGTATTTTTTGAGCTACGTCTGTCGATCCGATACGCCAGGTACCTGGCTTAAAAACTATAGTCTTCATTTTTTTATATTGTTACTAATAGGTTTTTATTTAACCGAGTAAGCTTGTCTGCCTTTATGCAAGGCCACACAAGTAACTCGGCAGAATTCTTGTTTGTTTGAAGCGTCTGCGCTTACGTCTGCCTTTAGGCCGGAATGTTAAGATGCTTGTATTTTAAGTGCGAAGCATTTTTTAGCGAACTTCGGCAATTTTGAACGTATCTATCTATCTAGCCACTTATGTTATGGCGCTCCTGTGGTCACCCCATTAACTTGGTGTAAACAAAAATTAGCATGGTATGGTAAGATGGTTTGACAAATATAACGAGCTGGTCCAGACATAAATAATGTCCCGATGCCGTCACATATGTCGTTATTCATTTCCCGCCAGACAGTGCCACCACCCACGTGTGGGTATAGGCCACTGGTATGCGGGTATGTACCACAAGTGCTTGACACTTAGTATCCACCAAGGAACGACGAGGACACACATGGACAATTTTAGCGCACGAGCATTAAGAAATACCCAGCATAGGTAGCGCCGACCCGACGATTCTAAAGAATAAATGTCAGGGTCCCAGCTGAAATTGAACCTAAGCATTCTGTGTGGCAGTGGAGCATTTTACCACAGAGCTAAACCAGAACTCAGAAATAATTTGATTGATTGACATGTGGAGTTTAATGTCCCAAAACCACCATGTGAATCTGAGAGACGTCGTAGTCGAGGGCTTCGGAAATTTCGACCTCTTGGGGTTCTTTAACGTGAACCTAAATCTGAGCAAACGAGCCTACAACATTTTCACCTCCATCGGAAATGCAGCCGCCGCAGCCGGCATTTGATTCCGCGACCTGCGCGTCAGTATCTCAGTACCTTAGCCACTAGACCACCACGGTGGGGCCTCGGAAATACTTTTCAAATGGGCGCTGATTTTCAGTGAAACGGCAATAGTGATTCCAGTGCTGCCTACCCACTTTTACAAACATTACATATGTGCTCCTTTGATAGAGCCGTCACGCCGGTTTAACGTTAATTGTGGTTAGTTGACATGCGCTGAAGTTGATTTATGTAGCAGGGTCCAGGGCCAGCGTTTCATATCAGCTTTGATGTTGCTAATAAGCATGTACCAGTCATCATCGTTGCGGAGGTGCAAACAACTGGTTATACAAACAGCTGCAACTCTTCAACACAAGTATATGTATGCAACTTTTGTATATATGTTTAGCGTAACTTTATGACGTGTAGCTCAATAAAAAATTTGCAACGCGGTCACCTTCCCCTCCACATGATTTGCATAACGAATGTGGAATCTGCCGAATTTTGTTATCACAAGTGTGCGCGTCAACTATGCATGCATGCCTCAGCTCATTATTGCAGTTACCGGTAGAAATATTGTGAATGGACACGTGATTAAGGCGTTGCGCCTTATTGAATCAAAGCGTATGAAGCGAGAATATAGTCATGGTCAATCTACATGTGCCGCTGTACCTGATGCAGTGCCCGACAAAACGTCATCATTAGGCAAATAGACATTTTTTTTCACCATTTATCAACATTTCATGGGCTCAATGTATTGCTAGATTGAACCTCTTAAGCCCACAAAAGACAAACGCTACAACACATAGAAAGAAGACTAAGTGCAAAAAAATGTAATTGGAAGAAGAAGCACTCGCTTCAACAGCACGAGCACCATCTTTTCGAATAGTTCAGCTATTACGAAGACTGTCTCCGTTCTCACTTTTTTTAGGGGCGAACCTATTGTTAGTCCAACATTGTCATGGGTCACGCGTAACCGAGAGAAGGAACTAGAAAGAAAAGAATGCAGTATCTCCCGAGCAGTATAACAAATGGCGGTGCCTCATAAAAGTACATACAAACTGCAGTTGAATAAGGATATTCTAGATGGCGCTCTACCGCTACTCTCCGATTGGCTGCTGCGTGAACTGTGCCTTAGTAAGCGGAGAACGAATGCCTCTCTCAGTTTTCTGGATAGTCGCCGTACGTACGGATCGTACGTACGGATCATTACGGATCGTTGGTGGGGCATGGACGAAGCAGAGCGGTTAAAGACGCTTGCGCTTGGCTTCTTTGGCTCGCGTCTCGTCGGTGTTACCCGTGCGCCATCTGCATTCTCGAACGTGATTGGACACACGGACGCATACACAGATGGACGGACACATGAATGTATGAAGGGACCGACGCTTCGCCCCACTCATTTTCATTCACGCAGCGAATATGCTGTGAATTTTTATTTCTTTTTACACATCAACTAGGCAGAACTATGGCAGTAGCAAAACCACGTCGCTTTCCCAAGTGATAGCAAATGTGTAGCGTTTCTGCCGTATTTTTCAAGTTTTTTTTACGTCAGTTTGGTGCGAAGGTGCCCTGTCATCACATTGTAGGGTGAGGTAGAAGTACTGACCTACACCGGCAAATACCTAAAAGAATGACGTACCGATAGCTTATACCAGCACACACTAGAAACCATGACGACACAGCGCAAGAACTCTCTTTGTTGGTAGAGTGGACGATTGCAGTTTTTTTTTCCTACTGTGCGCTGGCTTAACTAACCAGCTAGCTCTAGAGTAAATATAAATACGCCTAATACCCTGTTACAAAGGCACCCGCAAACCTTAACTCTTTTGTATTTATGTCAACAGGGATGCGTTTTGTGTCTCACGGTGTCCCTACCCTCAAGTAAGGCAAACAGAGCGTTTGCAACAAGTGTTCCACGCTATCCATTAACTGCGATAGTCAGTACTCTCGCCGCCATCAATCTGTAGCTCCGAAAAAAAAAACTGCGAACACATACTATCCGCAGGCAACATAATAAATATTTTATCGTATTTAAAGTTCTTTCAATGCTAAGTTTGTTCCTAATGTCCATTATTGAAAAAATGTGCTCGTATATATGCACATACTCTCTGCAGCCCACCTCGTGAAAAAAAAAACGTTGTCCTGATATTTAGAATGAGAGTTTTCAATTCTGCGTGCACCATCTATGTATCTCTTTTTTATTGCGATGCTTTTCATACTACATAAACATAACTTAAAGCCACAGCAGTGATTTACGCGGGCTTTCTTCGTTTTTTGTCGACGCCTGCAAATGTGCCAGATGTAAATGTGAATGATTGTGGGACCTCTCTTCCGCAACAGCATGGTGAACTGAATATGAGAGTGTTCATTTCATATCGAAAAGAACAAAGTGATCTAGATGGCAGTGCAACTTGAAAGAGCTCGGCGATAACTTCCAGTGTCTGACAATCAGCGCAAGTAGAGAAAATGCACACCAAAGCAAACGTGCACTGTTGCTCGCTCTGCCACATGACTGCCAGCATGCTTTCAGTTAACACATTTTCTTGAGAAAATCAGAAACAAAATCTTTTTTGTGGAATCATATTATGCTTTCTGTAATTGTACGACTGAGAATGTTTTCAGCTTGAGTACAAGGGAAACCTACCATGCAGACGCAGGGGTAGCTATTTGGTGCAGCAGCGCATGGACTTTTCCGGCCTCTGTGCAATGCTTGTTTAGTGCCGTGTGAAATCGGTGCGAAACTATTTGCGTCCATTTTTCTAATAAGGTTTCAAACTGATGGTTTTTAATGGAGTTCATTGGCAATCGTGTGACACTGAAATAAAATTATTCGAAGGAGGTGTATGCAGTCATATGCAAACATGTGAAGTGCAAACATATGAAATCATGTACAAACATACGAAGTGAGTCTTCCAACTACTTCTCAGTTGTGTGTAATGCAAGTACGAAGGAAAGCCAGCCATTGATGATGCAAGACTACTGTTCGCGAGTCCTAATCTTTCTTGAATGCTAGAGCGCGGCAAATACGGCCACGTAAGCGATGATCTAACCTTGAATCTATGGTCTTGGTGTCACTATCAAAAGCCTGCTCGTGTCTACTGTTTGATAAAAGCCTCTTTATCTATCTTCAAAAAACCTGCTTTGAGCAAGCGTATCTTGTTCGTAGGTTTTTCCTAATTCAATCAGACGACCCGTTTTTCACTCTTCACTGCACACTGCTGTCTTCCTTGATGTTAGAGTTAGACAGCCTTTTTTACTCCCCACTGCACGCTGCTGTTTTCCTTGATATTAGAGTTAGACTACCTTTTTTTTTACTCTCCACTGCACACTGCAGTTTTCCTTGATATTAGAGTTAGACTACCTTTTTTAGTCTCCATTGCACACTGCTTTCTTCCTTGATATTACAGTTAGGCCTAAGTATTTTTTTTTCATTCACCGACCGCTTAATTACTCCGCATCGCATGAGACCCACGAAGCTACAGCAGCTGCAAATCATTTTCAAGCCGTGACTGATATTGCTTGTGCGCCCACACCGCCAGACAATGCGTCGCAAGAGCTCGGGTGGCAAGAGGCTGCCGGAGATGGAGCAGACCCTACCGCGCCGAGTGCCGTCGGTGCCGTCCGAGTATTCGTGCGAGCGTCCTGTACCGGCACCGCGTCACTCGCTGGCGCGGCGGGACTATCAGGAGGACCCCGTGTACGCGAACCGGCAGGCGCTGCTGCGGCGAGCGGCCGCTGCAGCAGCCGCTTCTGCTGCTGCGTTCGCCGAGTCCGGAACGGAGGCTACCGTCCACGACGAGGAACCCGCCGTGGAAGAAAGAGCCGCCCAAGAAGAGGTGAGATAGATAGATAGATAGATAGATAGATAGATAGATAGATAGATAGATAGATAGATAGATAGATAGATAGATAGATAGATAGATAGATAGATAGATAGATAGATAGATAGATAGATAGATAGATAGATAGATAGATAGATAGATAGCGAAGAAGCCTGGTGATCAAACGTAGTATTACTGCAGGTTAGTCGAAAACAACTAATAGAATTTATTTTCTCTTGTAGGTGCTAGTAACCCTTTCATTCTGGCATTTCTTTATAAGCACATTCAAATCGCTTTTGAATATCAGAGCTATTGTTGCAGGAAGTTCAAATGTATCAGCCGCGCTAGGCCAGTTCCTATTTTTTCGATATTCTTCTCAGTCTGACAGTCCCTATCGCTCTCCTGGGCTTCGCACTCCACCCGAAACGACCTAGAGCCTCCCATCCATCTGAGAAAAAAAAACACGTGAAGAGGACTTCTAGGCACTCCTGTGCCGTACCCACCACGACCCGGAACATCACCGCCAGATGCACTCGATGCCGCATCTATGGCAGTGGTGGCAAGCCTCTGTGGTGGCAAGCCTCCTGCAGCCTCTGTGGTGGCAGTGGTGGCAAGCCTCCTGCAGCCTCTGTGGAGGGAACTACAGACCATGACCACTTAACGAAGTGACGGCACGATGAGCAGGACAGCTCCGATCATTGGGAAGAGAGGATATGGACCAAGTGCCCTTCACGGTTGTGTCTGACAAGAAAAAAAGGGGAACTGGCGTTCCTGTCGTCTTCCGACCTCCCGCGGAAGGCGGAAGCTTATGGAAAGTGAACCCTTACATTGTGGCATCAGCGGCTGTAACGTCGGCCCAAGAGACAGTTCTTAACCATCGCCTCAACAAGGATGGAAGCTTGGTGGTTACAGTTTCAACCCTACCCGCAGCAAACTGTTTGCTCACTGTGACTGAACTGGCTGGCGTAGCTGCAGAAGCCCGAGTTCCGTACTCATACACGGCGAACTATGGGAAAATACAAGATGTCCCTCTGAGCTACTCAAATGAAGAACTACAAGACTATCTATGGGATCAAGGAATCGTTTCAGCGAGGAGGCTCACGACCTTCACACGCGAAGATGGAAGAAAAGTCAAAGAGGTACGTCGTTGATCTGTCATTTTGGAAATTAGCAAGAATTCACCGCTACATAGAAGAGTCACGCTTAGCTTCTGTAGTTACCCGGTTGCAGAAAACGTTGGGGCAGCTACACAGTGTTGCAAGTGTCAAAGGCATGGTCACATATCGAGACACTGCACAGTCCCGGTGCTCTGTAAATTGTGTGCTGGGCCTCACTCGCACAAAAATGCAGGTCCAGAGAGCAACCTAAATGTGCAAACTGTGGTAGCCCGCACCTGGCCTCATATGAAAGATGCATGAAAAAGAAGGCTGTTACTCACGCACGCACTTTGGAGCAAGCACAAGGGAAACCACCAAAGCGGAACTAACCACCACCTAACCGTGATGTGGTATTCACGAGTATGAAAGACTCCTCCCTGGAACAACCAACTCAAACCCAAAAGACATCTGCTAACACGTACGCAGATGTTACTAAAAAGAAATGTGGGAAATCCATCGGCTTGTTGTCTTCATCAAAATCATCGCAACGTACCTCACAAGACCCACCAAGCCAGCACTACCGTCACCGGTCTCAGTCACCGCAACACGACAAGGAGATCTGCGAGAAAGAGCAACACGGAAACACCGATCAATATGTAACACGCATACTGATTCTTATGTTGTTTGCAGCCCTCAAAGCCCTTGTCCACGCAAATCCCTCGTCAAGAAGTCTTCCAGAGGTAGAAGGAATCCTTGCAATAGAGCCCCTGTTGTCGACGTCCAACGCACCGCAGGGGCGCGTTTCTTCACAGTAGCAATCATGGCTTCCCCAACGACATCGCCACCTGAACTGACAATACATAAAATATTTAGCACATGCACCATATTCCAGTGGAACGCCCGCGGGCTTTGCTCAAAGCTTTCGGATTTCTGACAGCTGGTGCGAGCGTACCATTTCACTTTCATCGTCATCTCGGAATCACGAGTCGGACCACATTTCAGATTGAACGGGTAATATTGTTATGTGTTACGTGGTTCATCATTTAAAGTGGCTTGGCCATATCAGCAGATTACTCATAGGCATTCGCAGAGACATTCCGGCCTCCGAGATTGACATTCCCCCCCACAATGACAATGAATATGTGTGTGCCATCACAACAATTGGTAAACAAAAATACACACTCATTGGAGTATGCCTGGAACCAGGCAAGCCTGTCGATGCTTCAAAACTTGAAAATTTGATTTCAAGAACACCTTCTCCACACATCATTTGTGGAGACTTCAATACCCACGATGAAATTTGGGGCAGCTCGCACACTTCTGCGCGAGGTGCCAAGCCCGCATACCTACTTTCAAAGCATTCCATCGAACCTCTGAATGACGGCAGCATCAGATATCTACGAGGCTTTTCGACTACCAGTAGCATCGACGTCAACTTCGCAACAAGCTTACTTGCCTGTAATTTTCACTGGTGCACCGACTTAGAAACACGAGGGAGTGATCGCTACCCAATCATGATATCAGCTGTTGGTGCGAAGATGCCATCCAAGAAATTAATTACAAGATCTACTGATTGGAATGCATTCAAAGACGCCGCTAGCAAAGAAATTACTGCTGCCACCAAGGACGAAGAATTTCTCACAATGATGTCTCCTTGCGTACAAGCATGCACACGTCTTTCAACTAAGAATGACAGATTTTCGTCATACAATGAGGAGTTTTAAAAACTGTGTGCTATTTATTCGTAGGCGACCTGAAAGGAAAGTATTGCGCACAAAGTGTCCTGAAGACCTTCGAGCCTGCCAAAGGACAGCACGTCATATCCGGCGTTACCTGGGTAAACGTAGCTGGCAACGATGGCGCGGCTTTTGCTCCACACTGGACGTTCATCATCCGGTAGCCAAAATATGGCGGGTCTTTAAAGGCATGCGAACACCACTCCAACAGCTTCACCCTTTCACAGCACTTTCCCCTCACGAACGCAAACCCCTGTGTAAGGAAAGGACTTAAAGACGCCGAGGAACGGCAAACCAAAACTGAAGAAGACGAGCGGAGGGCAGGTGGCACGACGACGACAACAAGAAATGAAGAAGAGAAGAAGGCACGTGCGAATACGAGGCAACTGTGCGCCAATCAGCTGATGACCAGTGGTGTCCCGTAGAAGTGGCGTGCGACGACTGGGCCACGTGCGACCATTACGTGGCTGTAGGCTGTGTGGCTGGGGACGAGCCGGAGCAGCGGCAGACGGGAGACAGCGGGCCGAAGCGTCGGACGCAGGCGATCCAGGTTCCAGCCAGGGAACGCGGCTGTCTACGCTGCTGCCGTCCAACCACCCCCAGCTGGGGCGGCATTGCTGACACGAGTACTGCATCTCGTAGCGCGACCTGGCCTGCTGTTCTCTTCCTTGCCGAGGGCATCGCGGATCTCGGCGAGGCGTCTCCATGGTCAGCCGTTCGACACCGCGATGAACGTGGCCTGGCTAATGGTCACGGTTGCGTCGAGCATCGCCTCTCGGCGCACGCTCATCGCTGGACGGGCTGGCCATTCCCCGCACGGAGCATCGCGTCTCCAATGCGGGTTGACTGCTCAGTAGTCGCACCCATGCCATCAAGCGCCAATGTCACCAGAGTGTCGAACATCGGCTAGGGACGAGCGAGACGTTCTGCCGGGCGAGACGCGGGCGTGTGCACGGAGGACCACAGAGCCGGGCGAGGTCCAGGGTGGCCGAGGATTCAGGTGCCAGGGGAGTTGCTGGCTGAATCGAAGATCGCCAGCGGTGCCGAGCCGTACCGAGACACGTGCGAAAAAGAGCTCGAGGGTGGAGGCCACGAAGGCAGAGGAAGTGGTGCGCCGCTCGAGAGGACGAGTTCCTGGCAGCGTTCCTGAGCCGGACGTGGGACCCGTACGTGTCGGCCAGGTCGAGCTCCGGTGTCGGTTCGAGGTCGAGTCCGTCGGCCTGTACAAGGTCCAAGGACGGGGCCTGCTGAACGGCTCCTGCCTGGGTGCAGTGGCCGCGAGCAGGTTCGTGGGTGAGGCCTGCCGGGTGTGCTCCTCGTGAGCCGTGGCCTGATCCTGGACCTCCGGAGTTGCAACCCTGACTGCTGGGTTGGCCGCGACGTCCGATTCAACGGCGCTGCACACGGTAGCGCATCCGTGTGCGGTCAGCCGTTCCAGCCGTGCCACCTTTGCCCTCGCGCACGTCGACGACCGCATCATGTCGGGACGACAGGGACCCAAACTGCGACGTTCCCATTCCTGGACCAGGAACTGCACAAAACCGAGAAGAACGAGGTGTGCCTGTACAAGTATGTGTTTCCGCCGCACCTGCCGCACCCGACGCTGGCCTTCATCGGGCTGCTGCAGCTGCTTGGGGGCATGTTCCCCGCACAGGAGGCGCAGAGCCATTGGTTCGCGCAGCTCATCAACAAGAAAGTGTCACTTCCTTCTCTAGTGTGCAATATAAAGCTTCTTTTGGTCGCATCACATGTTGATGTCAATCCTTTCTCGTCCGCTATTAACAAACATAGTGAAGAACGTCCTTAACCATCACACCCTGAAAGAGATGTAAGAAGGATACTGCACACTTTTATCATCAATTTCAATACTCTGGAGCTCTTCCGCAAAGAAGTCTGACTTTTCACGAGAGACAGTGCTAACATTGGATTTGCCATTCACAATTGAAGAAGTGAACACCACATACAGGGAATCAAACAGGCACACATCACACGGTCACGGTGAAATAAGCTATGAAGCCATCGCAAAGTTACCCCACACCTCCCGCCTACGACTCCTAGAATATTATAATTATTCGCGGTTGTCTGGCGAGTTTCCCGCAGAATGGAAACTCGCAAAAATATTGCCCATTTCGAAACCTTCAAAGCAGTCAACAAGCTACGCCTCTTTCCGACCCGTTGCCTT